TGAAAGAATTTACTTTAAGTGTATGGTCACCAATACTATTTTTCTTCTTCTTTTTTTTTTAAAGGGTCTGAAATGTTTCTAAAGTGTTTACGATTAAAGTTTAAGGCATATAGGGTTTTAACCATCAAAATAGGTACTTATAAGCACTTAAGGAGGTTACAAGTATTCGCCGCGCAATTCGCGGATTCTAACTCTTCGTGTCCGGTTCTGGCTCCAAACCTCCGCGAATACGGGGGGCTCACTATAAATGCATTGTCGTTTGTTTTATATTTATTGCTCATTTTTTACTTAGACTCACACTGAGTCCGCTAATCTCGTTTGTGGGATCAATTTTCCAGGAGCCCGTAAATATTAGTGGCACGCCCTTCTCCTACCGTCATCGTTTGCATTTGAACTTTTTTTTTTTTTCTTTCTCTTTCCTTCATCGTCGTTGCTACCTGTGAGCCACGACCCAACACTTTCAACGCTAAGGCACGTGACCGTTTTGGAATGAATATCCATTCTAAGCGTTTTTTGACGGTTGGCATTTGCCACCAGTCAAACTGTCACGTGACTTATCGGATAACCGCCAAATAAGAGACGGCCTGCAGGCATCGAGTCGGGAAGACGTGCTTTTCCGTCTCTCCTTCAAATACGCTTCAAACGTCTAGACCCCCCGGCAATAGACTTTTCATAGTCAATTCTTTTGCTGAAGCTACCTTCCATCAGCGTAGGCTCGATATTAGCCCAAATTTCTGACCTAACCTCCTGTCCAAATCAACAAGCATTTCGTCACGAACCTCAGTATCGAACTACCTCCTGTCTCTAAGCAACAAGTAAGTCAGAAATTCACAAGTTTTCATACCTTCTGGATCTCTCCCTTTCTGGTCTGTACTTCTTCCTAGGCGACGAACGTTTTTGCAGCTCATAATCTTGGTGATTTTCTTGGTCGAACTCCCACAACCGACCGAGTTAATTCTGTTTCTAAGTTTCCTTTGATCGTCTTTCACTAAAAGACAATTTGTTGTTAAAAATAAACTTACATCTTGTTATGCCTTTCCTATCTAATGGTGTTTGTCCACTCTTTACGTTGCTAACTTGTCATGAACCATAATGTTCTAAGGGAGTATCAAATAAGCTTATACGGTGATGTCTGGTGGCCTGACACAAGGCCATTCGCAAGAAACTTGTCAGAGTTAACTCCTAACTTCCTAATTGTTCACTAGAGGTCGCTCTCCCTACACTATAAGTACTGTGCGATTTTTCGCCTCGTTCTTTTTCATTTCTTCATTTTCAGCGAACACATCTATCGCAGGAGATTGCGTCTTCCCATTTGAGGGAGACGCCATGAACATTATACACACATACGTACCTGCAAACATTCACCAAAAACTCTTTACGTTCAAACACTAATGTTAATGTCTATGTCCATTGTAAATCTTGTCCAATATATATATATATATATATATATTTACTTGTTTTTACGTTCTTTTTATAGATACAAATATTTAAGTAAATGCTCTGTTTATAAAACAATATTAATGACATTTACCGACTTGAATGTCCGAGAAATTTTCATAGAATGTGTTCTCTGACAGGAATCAAACCTGTATTCTATAAGAATTAGCTTTACGTTCTTTACCGAATTAACCACAGGAGCATTTCAGTTAGTCAAGGTCGATTGTTACTGTTTTTAAACTACAGTTCTTCATGATTATCTGCTCGATGCGTATCCAAATGTAAACAAATGACGTCACACATGAAAGGGACAATTTAAGACATTTTTATGTTTATACGTTCTAAAATAATTGCCGGACTGCCCATTTCAGTTTGTTTTACATCTTGGTTTTCTTTACGGTGGATTCAATCTCAGTCTGCCATCTACTAGTGGACCACGTGTTCCTAATTTAACAAGACGGAAACCCCCGGTCGCGCTGTATACTCTACAGTGTGGTTGCCTGCAACATAATGGCGACTAAATACTTACCCAAACATACTGGCATTCCCTCAACACATTCCGTATAGATAGATACCAATTCGTAAGCCAAAATATGTCTCGGGTAAAGTGTTTCAGGTACAATTCCGTTTGGTGGTACTTAATTATCCACAACTATTGGATAAAATGAATAGTCTTATAGATAAGCGTATGGTTGCAAGAAGGAAATACAATAGCAGAAATAGATTTACGTGATTTATTTCACTAGGAACGTGTGGTGTAAGTTCATAAGCCGGCCGCCGATCTGGGTTGATTTCTCATACTAGTTCTCACTGGTTGGCGTGGCGGCGCTCCTGCTGACTGCCAAGACTGACCGTGACAGATCTCTTCCCTGGCCTCCTGTTGACTGCTCTTGTACTTCCCCGTATGACCCTCTATTATAGCGTTTTTTATAGCTTCAGGCTCGAAAAAACGACGAGAGTATAATTAGGAGGAAAGCATTTTTATTGGTCAATATGTAGGAACACTTTAAAATATTTTATTTTTCGGCCGGAACTTGAGCGTCGGGCCTATGCGTAAATGACCATTTTGTGACCGTTCACATCCGGCTCTCGCTCTTGAGTATGTTAGCTGATTTGACTGCAAATAAGCCGATAGTAATTCAAGAAGGCAGAAAAAAAAAAAAAAAAAAAAAAAATTCAGGTGGGTGGGTGGAACTTGCTGCTTGGGAAAAAAAAAATTTCTTAGAGTTATTTTCATTCCTTATTGTCCAACAAGGAGAGAATTTTCACTTGTGAACTTCTAAGCTTTCTGCAGCTGGCTGGTAACTGGTGCATTCTTGCTGTCAAATGCCTTACTCCTTGATTATTTGCCTTGTCCTCTTACTGACAAAATATCTTCTCTCATCTGACCAGAGTCTTGTCCATTTTGAAAAATGGGCTCACAAGGCACCAATTCAGGTTCTTACTAGAGCTCGAGACCATTGCTCTTAATAGTATATAACTTATACTTTTTCAATGAGAGAAGATATTTTGGCAGTAAGAAGACAAGGCAAATTAACATCAAGGAGTAAGGCATTTGACAGCAAGAAGGCACCAGTTACCAGCCAGCAGCAGAAAGCCTAGAAGTTCACAAATGAAAATTCTCTCCTTGTTGGACAATAAGAAATGAAAATAACTAAGACATTTTCCCAAGAAGGAACAGTTCCCCACCACTGACCTCGCTGTAGCTGCACCTTCGTTTTTCTTTGGGAAAAAAGACAAGGATTCATTGAGAAAGACATCATTTTTATCAGAAATTGTTATTCTTTTGTTTAAAATCTTGGAATGTTTTGCGGAAGTATTTTGGGAGCAGGTGGCATTTACATTCTATTTGATAAACTATAAACTGTTATATTTTGATAAAATTTCTAACTGAATTGTTCAGATTTCAAGTTACTTACAGAATTTGCATGATTAATATACAACCAGGGTATTTTAGTTTATCACCTGTTTTTATGAAATTTATATTGAAAAACAGAAAAAAAACAAAAAAAAACAAAAAAAAAACAAAATCGAATTGCAGTGCTTTTTCAGTACTTTAAGTCTCCATAATGGATTGCATTTTAGATACATTCTGGCTATAAATTTACTATATCACTTATAGTCTGGTAATGTCAGGTATCTACAAGAACTGGCTTGTTACACATACAAATTTTTCTTTTGATATCATAATATAAGTATTCTAAGTAGATGTCAGTTTGGAAGTGACTGAAAAAAAAAAAAAAAAAAAAAAAAAAAAATGGTCCAAGGAGTCCCGCTTTTTAAAAGTTTGAGGGATGAAAATAAATATACATGGTAATCTTTGCCCTATCAATAGTAGTACCAATCATGGCAATAAGGATTTCTTTTCCTTGCTTAAAAAATGTTAAACAAGTGTATTGAAAAGGTGCTTTATTTTGTATGTGATAAAATATTTCTAATAAAAAATAAAGTCAGGTTTTTTTTCTTCTGAGAAACTTTATTTCAAGAAGTCTTTCCAATAAAAGAAAAAATAATCATACAAAAAGTTGTCATTTCATTTTTTGTCTTCAAAATTGTTTGGTTTGTGGTCTTCAAAAGAAAAATGTTGATTCTTTCATTCCACACTGAATTTGTTGTGGGCAGGGATGATAAAAAAATTGGGGCATTAACACTATTGGGAAGGAAGAAGAGAATAACATTAATGACAAGAAAAGGCAATAAGTTTTGTTTTAATTTTTAATATATATATATATATATATATATATATATATATATATATATATATATATATATAGCTACCCCAACCAGCAGAGTATAAGACAGTGGTAGGAGGAAATCTGAGGAGACTATATTTAACCAGTGCCTGTTAGAGACAAGAGTTAGCAAACTAATGAAGTGCACACACACATTTTTTTATATATATATATATATATTATATAAATATATAATAGTGTGAGAGGGAAAGCCACATTCAAGGTGTATTACCTTGTCAACAAGGTGACAGCTTGGACCAATAAGTAAGTATCAGAATGGGCCAAGGAAAAAAAAAAAAAAAAAGTACAAAAAGCCAAGACTTTGCCTTCTTGTCTCCATCTTTTTTTTTTCTTTTTCTATCTTTGGAAAAAGAAAATATCAAGACTCTAGATAATGTGCGCTACACAGCATGTGAGAAACTGTAAACAGTTGCAAGATTTGTTTTATGTCAATTAAGGAAGAGGATTTAACAAAATTACACAAGCCTGACAGGAACGAACAAACCAAAGAGACCCAACCAGAGACCCAGATTACCTTCAGTCCAACCACTTGCAGTTATCTTCTCCCCCCCACCCCAAGAAAAATCTGGTTCAAGTGGGTCAATGGCTAGTGGAAGGGGCGGATTGCTCTGTCAAATGCATTCAATCATTTCAGCAGGAATATCAACATTATCAGATAAAAAAAAAAAAAAAAAAAAAAAAAAAAAAAAAAAAAAAAAAAAAAAAAGAAAATGTTTAGTTGGGAAGGGACAGTGGAGTGGAAAGAAAGAAAAAAGGCTTAACAAGGCCGTTTGTGTGGGTGGGTGCTGTTGCTTCAAGGAAGACCAGGTTTTAAGCTCCAGACTTTTCCTTCTCAATATCTGAAATAAGAAGGAAAATAAGATTAAAAGTGTTAAAGTGTGGTGATTGGTGTATGGGGTGTATCAGGCAAGTTGAAGACAGAAATATCAAGTGCCTACATCACAGCATTCTAGCCATACTGATGTCTACAGAAAAAGTGACATGTAACCTTGTCAGCTCTGGATTAAATGTTAGGGTTCAGTAGCTTTGAGTGGTAACCAGTGTTATACAGTAGTTTATGCAAGAAAGGTGGAAGAATTGTCCCACCTAGGCAGAGATTGGTAAAGCAGGGAGACAAATTTGCCCAACCTTGTGGATGTATTGATAACCTGTTTAAATCTTTGAGAGTGACAGAAAAGTATCAAATTAGCCAACATTCTACACAAGTATGAAATTTAGATACACTACAGAAATGACAGAGAGAGGACAATTATTGATAAGACATTGAAAAGTGATATCTCTTTAACAGACTGAACAAAGACCTGTGACCATACAAAAAGAAATAACTAGTTGTGTCCACAAGGGTAAGAAATTAAATATTCAAGAGAAAGCAGTATTGCAGCCATATACTCAAGATGGAGCTGCACAGTCTTACTTGATAAAGTTTTCAACCATGTCTGCACAGCCATGTGGGTGATGAATTATTTTTTACCCTATTTCACAAGCTTCTTGTTACTCTTATTTCCATGACAAATGGATTGACAAACTATATTCCTTGGTTCTAATCTCAACATTTGTGGCATGTCACAAATAAGAGGAGGAGTCATTCTCATTATTCGTATTCCTTTGGCAAGACTGAAGTTCCACTCAGACAGTTGCTTCAAGAAATGTTACCTTGTGGAACAGAGAGATAGTTTTACTTCCCCCACCCCAGAAAGAGAAAACCTATAATCTCACCCTCTAAGTCTAGGGTTAATTTATCTCATAACCTAAAGCTGTACTTCTTACCATCTCTTATGCTCATACAACATTATATAGTAACCCTCTACCTCAAGTGACTCTTGAGCCTTTTATAAGCTGAACAAAAATTCAGAATAGATTAAAGGATAATATTGAAAAATACTGAAAGAGGAGAAAAACATTTGATGCAAGTTTAATGCTCTGTAGATAACTATGACATTGAATGGTTAAAGCCAATAATCATTTTCAGTTAGATAATTATATTGCCAAATGATCTTTTGGTGCAATGTCACCTAGGTTAGGACTAGCAAGGGAGTCTATGCCACAAAAGGCTGTATTCAGATATGAAGAGGCCTCCAAGATTTGTGTAAAGAATGCATACAAAAGATGGATGGATGGATAAGAAGGAGTAGGCAGACTGGGTAAAGCTACATTCCTGGAGAGGGAGGAGTCATCTTGCTGGGCACTCAAGTGAGTAGGGGTGGGGTTAAGGCACAGATTTTACATATTTGCTGCCTCAGCACTTTAGACAGGGAGTGATATTAAGGGATAAGAGTGCGATATGACCGGTGAGTGTAGTGCATCTGCAGAGCAGGTGGGGGTTGGAAAAACCAGGGTGAGATAGGAAAGACAAAAAAAAAAAAAAAAAAAAAAAATCAGCTATTCCAATGAGCAGAATATCTCTGCATCACTTGGCTGCTGCCAATTCAAATGTTATTCGTGTACAGGCAAATGTTTTTGGAGGTGACTGCTATAATTGTCCTTATCAAGGTATTTTGGCAGGGTTTTAACATTTAAAACACAACCAACAAGATCATCTTAAGTGGGGTTGGAAATTTTTAAATTTAGTAATAGGGTGGGATTAAACTAGTTTATTTGAATGAAAGGGCATTTCCTGTTCATATTCAACTTTACATGTCTTCACAACAGCTGCTAGGGCTGGCTGGCTTTTTATTCAAGAAAAAGATGGCTCAGAATAGATAAGAACCACTCAAATGTTATTTCGTCATCTTTTACATTCTCAGATGTTTTGAATGGTGCTGCGAATGAATTTTAGGAATTTCTCAAAAGGATCCACACACACACACACAAACAAAAAAAAAAAAAAAAAAAAAAAATGGCAAGCCGGTGGTGGTCAGTATAAGAGCAGAGGTGGAATTTGAAAGTTAAGACAGAAAGTAGTATAATTGATATTTTAGAGCCTAGTCAGTTATGTGGCATGTGTGATACCTGCTTAGGTGATCGTGCATCCTTTGATACACAATTGAAAGGGCAGATCCCCACCCAACCCACGCAGTAGGTTGCTATTTCTTTCTGCAGTAGACCAGTTGCCATCCAAGGCTATAGAACACAGCCTGTCCAGCTATTTAGCCATAGCTGGAGGGAGAAGAGGAGGATTCATATATCTTTCCCAAAAGGTATTAGCATGCGATTCAACTGACATTCAAACTCCTCAGATTCGTCAATCAGAGCCACTATTATTTTATGTTTAGAGAGACCAGTAATACTGCCAATACAAAATAGTTAAGAAAGCAAACATAATCACTATCTTTCCAAAGTAATGGAAATTCAGATTGGAGAGCCATGTCCTTTATGAAGAAAAATTGTTTAATGAAGGAGAGTGGCATGACATTTTGGGGTGGTTTAAAAAAAAAAAAAAATAAAAAAAAAAAAAAAAAAAAAAAGTTTCAGAATCAACTGCAGAGTTGCTTCCCTTGATAACTTACCATCTTTGGTCGGCAATGGATTTTTTTCTACAGTTTCTGTATGTTTCAGGCCGTCTTTTTTAAAGTCACCGATGGAATTGATAAGTTCCTGTTCAGTCTTTTCTTTCACAATGGCTGTTAAAAGAATAATGTGACAAATAAGATCAGTTTTCTTCCATTATTGCTTTTATTGCAAAAATAAAGTAGAATCTTTAAGCAAACAGCAAAAAGTTGGGAGTACCATCTTACAGGTTACCCATTAGTGTCCACAGGTTAAAAAAAAAAAAAAAAAAAAAAAAAAAAAAGTTTCAGTGATTAAATATCAGAAGTTTGTAGTCATTCAACAAGACATTACTGTCTGCCAGTTAGTATTAGTTATTTTGGATTTTCAATGAAGCACTTGGACAATTATTAAATAAAGATTTTGGTGAAGAGAAAGTGGGGAGTGAAAGAGAAAGTGTTTCTTTCAGATTCTCCAAGAGATCATGATGTACAAGGACTCATTTTTAAAGTTTTTAGTTAGCAATGCTTACAGACACTGAGTTTTAATAAGTGTCATTGCATGATGCTGGCAATTCAAATATGCTGAAGAGAAACTAAGGGACTCTCAATAAGAGAAAAAGTCCCTTTATCAGAACTCAGTATAGAAAGTTTTATACATTGGTAAATATATAAAGGTTTTATAAATCAATTAAAAAAAAATTTTTACAAGGTGAAGCAGAAACACTTCTGCTTAAATGGTCAGACATTAGCTAGATGAAGATACCATTGTCACTTGTCTAAGTTCACTAGCACCATACAGGTTACAGTTTAAAATGCAAGGCATTTCTGCCACACCCAGTATTTTATAGTTGGTATTTTATAATTTTTTTATTTTTTTTATAAATTATATTTATGTTTGTATTTTAAATTATGTGTTGTAAACTAATATCGTCACAGTATATGATCATTTGAATAAGTTTGGTCATCTGTGTCTAGCTTAATTCAGCAATTATAAGATTCAATTCTAGCCATATTTTCAAGAATCAAATTTGTGTCTTAACAAGCATACAAATGAAGCAGAGATGTATAACTGATATTTTCATTTAATTATATTTTGAAGTAATTTTTTTTATGCATCAAATTTACTTACAAGAGAATCCTTACAGTTGTAAATGCTAAGAGGTGGGGGAAATCTATAAAATGTTTAGAGTATGTTAAATTCATGCACATGTATTTTCAGAGACTTTATAGCTTATAGAATAGTCACCATTTCAAAAAGCAAGAAAAACATTTACAGCATCTTAAGAAAAAAAAAAATCTCACCATCTTTGGTTGGCAGGAACGTTTTTTCTTGTGTATCAGCATGTTTAAGATCATCTTTCTTGAAGTCAGTTATTGAATTTATAAGCTCTTTCTCAGTTTTCTCCTTTGCAATAGCTGAAAGACAGGGGAAACTCATTTTTCAAGTCCAATGTCACAAAGACACGTTGCTTTATCATTCTTCATTTGGTGGTGTGTTAAAGCCACTAAACAAATATGGCAGATGATCCATAAAAAGAGCCAGCTCAGTTTCAACAGCAGTTAAGTATTCAGGAGTAAAAATATTTCTATTGCAACCTTTCATTCTGGAAAGGTTAAATAAAGTTTTTAATGAATTCTAGAAGAATTTTCTATATTTTTAGCAGAAAATAAAATTTCATAGAATTTTGGGTAGCCAGTTATATTTAAAACAGACGTGAAATTGTTCCCAGTGTCCTGCAGTAACAGGGTTGAAATTTTAATCCTTTTTCAATTAAAAAGGATTCATAGCTGCTATCACACAGAAACACCACTTGCTAGTAAAGAATATACATAAACAGCAACTTTAAAAAATTGCCTATTTATGATTTCCTTTGTATATTTAATATGCTGTAGATGTTTATAGACTAGAAGAGAAAAAAGTTTACACATGCTGATTTAAGTCATGCTTTAGAAATGTTGCATGGAAATAAAGAGAATGACCAGGTAAAGTGTTAAGTTACTTTGTGTATTAAATGCATTTGTTAGAGAAAAGGGGGATAGAAGCTTTATAGAGACCCATTTCAAGTAGGTAAGAGGAAGGAGAGAGAGAGAGAGAGAGAGAGAGAGAAAAAAAACACTTACTTTGTTTATCTGGCAGAGGATTTTTCTCTTGCGTTTCAGCATGTTTCAATTGAGACTTGTTAAAGTCACCAATGGAATTACGCAGTTCCTGCTCGGTTTTCTCTTGTGCAATTTCTAAAAAGGAAGAAATATTACAGCATTCTTAAAAAAGATAAAACTGCTTAAGTTATGCTATAAGTTTGTTTAAATAGATTTCATCTTATTTCCAATGCTTTTAACACATGAAGTAGATTATATATATATATATAAAAAAAAAAAAAAAAAAAAAAAAAAGGAGTACAATGCCACTTTTTTTACTATTTAATTTAAAAGGGCTCAATACAGAGCTAAATATTATTTAAGGATAAAATGTAAAAAAATATTCTGCTTTTGAAATTAAATTGTTCACCTGAACAGTTTACTATTGCCCTAGGAGACATGTTTGTAGTGTAGAAACATAATTGGCATTGTGTAACAATATATCTCAAAAGAATTCAAGATGTGAATAACTTGAAGCCTGCTTTTGATTAGGCTACAAAGGCCAAGCAGTTACAATAACTCAAATCTAGTCAGTCTTCATGGATCACATCTATTTACATGCATGAGTAAATTATGAAAATTACTTTTTTAAATTCATATTTGTGGAAGAAGTTATTTATACTGACTAATGCCCTCATCTTTGTTATCACTACAGAATAGCCTAGTTCTGTAAAGCACCATTTCAGGTGTTTGGTGATAGTAATCACAAGTTCAATTTCTGGGCTGGGTAGCACAGAGACCTAATGAAATAGGGCTGAGTAGTACTAAAGAATAAGATCCCTAAATATAAACAGAACATTTAATCTACAGGGAGTAAGTTCTGAAAGGGTTCAATTGAGAATTCCCTGATGTTACCCAGATTGCCAAGTACCTGATGATGGCTAGAAGGTACAGTGACCAAAACATTGATGAGGGCAACAGTTGTACTGTAAATGTAATTACTGATATTTAAATTTGCAATGAAAAAAAAAAAAAAAAAAAAAAAAAAAAAAAAAAATTAAGAAATTTAAATATAAAAAGGTTCATGCAGTTTTAAATATTTCAAGTCAAGAAACCAACAAAAGTCAAACTATAGCTACTTTTTCCTCCTGCCAGCAAAAAAAAAAAAAAAAAATCCATTTTCAACTTTAAATTTTTTTTTTTTACTGAAAAATTCAACCATTCATCACAACTTGTTTATTGTAACAAGCCACATCCAGCACCATGCAAAAGCAACTGTGTGAAATTTGCCTCAAACAAATCAGAACAGAGGTAAACAAATGTTGATTTTTTTTTGGGGGGGGGCAACTAAATAGAGTTCCCTAACATACCTAATACTTATCCTGGAAGATTCACAACTTTTCTGCTAAAAAAAAAAAAAAAAAAAAAAAAGCATTTTATTTCTAAATGGTTATCTTCTCCAAAAGCATTAAATTTAGTCTTCACTTGGTTGAATGGTTCACTTTGCCAACATTAAGATATCTGAACCAGTTATTTTGACTTGCTTATTTATGATAAGCAAGGATAGATTTGGTTTTAATACTGGTCAGTTTAAAAAGGCAAAGAAATGGTCAAGAATGACCATTTTTTTTGCTATATATATATATATATATATATATATATTTCATTTTAGATGGGTCATTTAAGTGAGGATTAGTCAATTTGTTTTGTTTTTTTTTTTTAAATTAGCATAGAATAAATCGAAAATATTAAGCAACGTGAAGGATTTCAGTGATAAAGTTATGAAAAAGGTATTCATAATGAACAGTCAAACTTGTGTAATTTTAAAATGGATTTATTAAAATACGAGTGACCTCCCTTTAATCTTTCAATTTTGGACAATTTTGAGCCAAATGATATTCACTTATGATCACGTTGAAATCAACATCAGATTTATACAAGTTTGACTTAACATTCTCACTGTTGCATGTTTATAACATTGTTGCCTGGCTGTTCCACTATTTGGTGCAGTGGTGGGGGTACCATTTGCTGGAAATGCAAATGGTGATTTCATGTGGCAGTATTGTTTTCATTGGATATTGTGCAGTACAGACTAAGCTAAACATCCCAACAATAAGAATTAGTTGGAATGTAAAGTACCACATAATACTGTTTTGGAAATATAAACTAAGTACTAACATGCTAGGGACTGACATTTTAGTGTCAGTAAAAAAAGTTAAGCTAGGTTTTATAAATACATATAACCATAGCAAGTGTTAAGTACTGCTGGGTAAAATGCCACATAACCTAGAAAAGGTTTGTTTTTTTATAATACAAATCACCCCAAGTAAGGCAATACTGCCACAAGGGAGATACTGGGAGTAAAATGAGAAGTAACTAGAAGCAAGGGATAAGCCTCTGTTAAAAAGACCAAAGAGGAGTGTGAACCAGGCAAGATATAAATATGAAGTTTAGAAAGCATTTTGCTTAAAAGAAATAAGTATTCTTGATATCAAATGATGGTGGGGGGGGAAGCATGTCCTTTCAGGATGTAGGTGATCATGACTCCATGTTTTTATATCTGATTTTCTATTCCTTGGGGTGTAGGGAGACAATCGTGAAAAGTATTGAAGAGGCAAGTTTACTCTGATGACCACCCAAGGCTATAGAGCCCAATCTACTCTACAGTTTAACCCCTAGCTTAAAAGGGGAAAGATTCAGGGTCACTCCACAAAGAATTTGAATGTTGTCTTGTCAGTTCCATTTTCCATTTGGGTATCATGTCCTTTTACATTTTGATAAACGTAAAAATTATCAGAAACAAGTCCAGGCAAATTTAGTAAGCTCATCACAAATGGAGACTTCCACTTTATATAGTCACAATCAAGTAATAGTAATTTATTCAAATCTTGGGAATCAAGAAAATGTACTTGCTATGAAAATTACAGTCTAGTTTAAAAAACAGACATGCTCAACTTAAATGTTGAGAAGTCAGTGTTACTTACCTGAAAGTCACTGAAATACAAGAGGCAAATAGAAGCAAAATATTGAAAAATGAATTCATTAGTAAAGTTGGGGAGAATCTTATCCAGAAGATAAGTATACAAATCCCAATACTGACTTGTTTTAGTCATCAATACCACTTAAATTAGTATTTCATCAAATACAGTAGTGAGAACAAGTGTTTAGTAACAATACTAACAACCAACACATAAAAAGTTAGTAAATTCATAAAAAAACCATGTTATGACAAGTGATCAGCGTTGGCACAGTGATGTATTAAAAAAATGCCACAACAGTCACCACTAGCACCTAAAGTTAAGAGAAAAAAAAAAAAAAAAAAAAAACGGTGACAAGATCTTCCACACCAAACCTCACCAACCTGCTGTATCAGGGAGAGTGATTTTCTCCTGTGTCGTTGTGGGCTTCAATGATTTTTTATCAAAAGAACCAATGGAATTTCTCAATTCAACTTCGCCCCTCTCTTGGACAATATCTATACAGAAAGATTAGAACCAATTTCTCAAGATTGGATAATGACAGAGTATATGAGGAAAAAAAAAAAAAATAAATAAATAAGTGAGTAGGGTGCACAAATATCTTCATGGTTTTATATAGCCAAGTTTCCAGTAAGGAGCAAATTGGTCTGACTAAATGTGAATAGCAAATAAGTTAGCAAAGACAAAATCATACCAACTTAAGCAGTGGAAGTTTCTATTTAAAGTGATACAACCAATTACAAACAATGTGAGAATTTGGGTGGGTGGGGGTAATTACAATAAGAGACCTTTGATAAGGTCAAGAATACAATTGGAAAAGAAAAGTCATTAGGTACAAGTTCAAGTATTTAGTTACTAGCTTAAAAGCTGCCCTATTGGGAGTCATTTAAGGTAACTCCTGCAGAAGGCTTTTGATGGAACCTTTGGCTTGTCCAGGAGTTTTAGAGTCCCTAAGTGTTTGCATATTCTCAGTATTGGAAGCTCTCATGGCTGGCATTTGATCAGGGTTTTCATTTGCACAGGACTATTCCTTTACAGTCTTGACTTGATTGCAGTCAGGTCATTAGTTGCCATACCCAAACACAAAATGGTCTAGAAACAGAACGCCAAAGCAGTTGGTAGCCAACACAGACAAACTCCCAGAAAGGTCCTGCAGCCAAGCCAAACCTCAATGTAACACCCTGTATATTTGGTTCTTGTTGGTATGGCCAAAAGTGGATAGCAGTCTCCATATACCATCACCTAGTCCAGTGAGGGGGTCATTAGTCTCACTAAAGGACTGAATTTAAACAAAACAGGGTGCTACTATTATCTTACAAGATAAACATCAACCTACCAAACTAAAAAGATGACTCAGAGGAATAAGATTTTCAATTTTAATTGAATCCACATTTGTTAACTGCAAAACCCAATTCTTAATTCTTTAGCAAGTGGCTGACACCAGCATAGACCATTTTCTGGCATAAGAGTGACTACAGACAAAGAAATTGTTTATATTTATACCTTTGATAATATAAGCATTTAATGTGTCCCAATTTTTCAGCTTTTCTGAAGCTACTCGAAATAAGACTTTATACTGGGACCAATTATTTAGAGAATTCTAAGAGTTCTTCAAAACACATTTTTCATGCAGTGTCTCAGACATTTTTTTGGTGGGGGTGCAGGAGTATTATATATATTTTCTTTCTATACTAAACATCTGGGCAGCCAAAAACACTAAGCAGATCTGAACTTTGTGGCCAAAGGTCACCTGTCAGGCCAAGCCAGAGTAGGGAGATCAATCAATGGAACACACACACACGCGAGATATACAGCATTTAACAAGTCACAGATGGGCTAATAATCTTCCGCAAGAGGCAATTAGGAGTTGGATCATATTACTAGTAGAAATATCACAGATACAACTTTGATAGTTTTGTAGACTAACTAAAATTTAGTTGCTTTATTATAGTTTAAAGTGAGGAGCCTATCCAATAAGATTAGGATTGAAGGAGTTAATTTTGGGTCATACCTTGGCCTGTGGGTAGGTTGTCTTTCGTCTTTGGGACCACATGTTGGAAAGAGTTAAGGTCAGCATTGTGGATGTCAGAGAGGAGAGCCTTGTTATCAGCCATGATTTCACGCTGCAAAAGAAAATTTAGATGCAACAGAAAAGATTAAGAAACTTCAATTAATGCTGCAATAAAAAATTCACAAGATTCAGTTTCTTGCCACAAATTATGCATACTGTTTTACATGCTACCCCCCCACAAGTGGATTGCAACCAAGCAGTCCAAAGTACATGAGATTATATATATATATATATATATATATATATATATATATATATATATATATATATATATATATATATCTCAAATATATATACTATTTTCTCCAATACTTCTGTTACAAGGATTTTTTAAAGTTTTATTCCCTCTGATAAATAGCAAAAGGAATTTAAGTAAACCAATAGAATTCTTGAATATGGTACAAAATAAACATTAACTTTCATTTTTATTATTTCCTTTGAGTTCCTAAAAGTCAACTTGTGTGTGCCTGTGTCTACTAGACTGAATATTTTGGGAAATCTTATTAAAAAGGAAAAAAATGTTCTCTGGCAGGATTTGAATGCTGTGTAGAGGGAACAGTCATTAGATTTGACATGCCCTAGACAGATTTAGCCATGAAGAACTTGTGAATCAAGTAAGACTGAATAATGCCTTTAAGCAAAATTCTTAAAATCTGAAGTCTTGTAGGAAGACAAGTTTTTGATAAACATCAGGTTTGCCAACATAATGAGGTGAATGGTCATTTATACATATCAGGAGTCATGTTGAGAGGGCACTCATCATAAATAGCTTGGTGTTCATGGAAAATTAAAAACATGTCACAGAAATAAGACAAAGGGATAATGGTGAAAGCTTGGTAAGTTGTACACATTCGTATACAATGTGTACTCATGTTTTTGTTTTTTTTATTTTAACTTACAAATGTTTCATGATTGCATGTGATAAAAGGGAGAAGTCACTGTATTATTACACCATGTCACAAATAGAAGTTGAATATGTTGACTGTCAGTGAAGAGAATGAATTAAGTCTCTTGGCAGGATGTCTATTTCCGACAGGAACAATGTTGCATGCTGGGAGAATTTTGTTTTTAATAAAATGGTAACAAACTTTGTTACCATTTTATTTAAATGTTCAACATTAGTTTCAAATACAAACAAAGCAATTTCTATAGTAATGGAGTTTTCTATAATTCTGAAATATTTTATCACTGCATGTTATTTTTAGTGGATATTCATATTTGAATAGATGCCCCATTAATTAAATTTGTATATTTTTGTTTAAATGGCCTAAATAGGGAAATTTAATATTTTGCAAGACAAAATGATACCCATTTAATAAACTGTCTCATATTTGAGTTTAAAATAATGTTTGAAGTGATAGATATATGCAAGAGAGGAGAAAGAAAAAAAAATTGATACTTCATGTGAAAGATGAACAAAATAAGCTTCATAGTTAAAGTCAATTGGATCATTTGTATTGTGGGCATATCAGCCAAGAATTTCACAAAGCAGTTATTTAATATAAAGGAGACATTGGTTATAAAAACTGGTGAAGTTGTGAACAAGTACTACAAATCACTTTACATACATGGAAAGTCAGTTTCCACCTCAAAGGAAATGCTTTGGGAAATATGAATACAGATCATGGAAACTAAACCAGCAGTGATTGCTGAAGCTATATAGAAATTTTGGAAAACAGCTTTTGATATAATTTCAAGCACAAATGTAACATGTCAATGCACAACACAAAAACAAAACTTTCTACCATGCTGACTTGGATATTCATATCATCGAGTAAACAAGATGGTCAATTCAATTAACTTGGAAAAAAAAAAAAAAAGGAAAAGGAAAAGTGTCCTTCACAAAGGGTCAACAGTCCAATTTGTACTGTTACATACTCAACTGAAAGGAGGTTTAGAATTTGAAGTTAAAAAATACATATAAATTAACTTATGTAAAATGAATTAATGAGATATATATATATATATATATATATATATATAGATTAACCTGAAAATTCAGCTTTTGAGTATGTATACTTAAAAGCTTATACTTCTCAAATAACATTTTAGCATTATTTTTGTACATATTCTCTGATAATGTATCTGAACCTCTAGTTCACACACACACACACAAAAAAAAAAAAAAAATGGCTCCAAGATTCCTTATCAGGAATTGCCATGCAATGAATTTATTTCTCATCTACAGTTTCAAGTTTAGTCTCCACTTATTGCTATCCCAGGGATATTTGAGAAAGAATACAACTGACTAGGCCAGAATTTGGCTTACCAATTCCATATTCTGCATGGATAAGGAACACTACCTGCACATCCAGGATTTTCAGAATTTTGAATAGCAACAATGTTCCACTAGAATTTGAATTTGATCAACTGACAAAAAGACCCAGTTTAGATATCCAGCAATCCTTATAAGGAAGGAGCCAATATAACACTCACAGGACATTGAAAAAACAAGAGAAAACAGCAAGCAATCTACTTAATGAGCTTTTGAACAGATTTCATAAAAAGAGGAAAGGCATAGTGACAAAAGAAGCCCATCCATATTTCTAAGTGAATTAATATTGCAGTTAGTGATTTTATTGGCAATTGCTCAAGATTGTTATCCAAGACATCTATAAGTTTTTTTTCTTACACTTTTGTCATGAAAAATAAGAATCAAAGTCTCATATCTGATGTCATCAATAGACTATATCCATCCCTATATGTATGTATACAAGTGATGAAAGACTTCAAGTCACAACTTAAAGTTAGCCATTAAAAACTAAAATTTACATTAAACTAAGATGTCTATCTTTGGAAACTAAGAGGCATGGTGGAGTAATAGATAGCCGCTCAGATTGAGGAATTGGATCAGAGTTTGAATTCTAGTCGACTCCATTACATTCATTTATGTGCTAATACCTGAAGGAAACATGAATCCTCTTCCCCTGTCTATGGGTAAATAGCAGGACAGACCAGGTTCTATAGCCTTGGATGGCAACTGGTCTACTGCAGAAAAAAAATCTGCCTCGTCAGTCATGTATCACACATGGCACATAACTGATCTTTGGGTAAGAAAAAAAAAAAAAAAAAAAAAAAAAAAAAAATAAATTAACCATTTTAATTTGAACAAATTGCTATAAAATCAACCATTACCTAGAGTGGGTGAAGAGATGGTGGGAACAGCCTATGTAGCAGGTGGGATAAAAGATAATTCAAGTATTCAAGAATCAATTGACAGCTTGCTGTAAACCATGTGAAATTAACATGCCACATAATTGAAATTATAATTTATTGAGCAGAGCATGGCCAAGGACATTACACAAAGCCAAAAAAAAAAAAAAAAAAAAAAAAAAAAAAACAGGCAGTGAGAAGATAACTCACAGCAGTTCACAGAAGACAAAGTGCTGTCTACAAATAAAATTCTGTACATGAATAAAACTATATATAAACCTACTGACAAGATCAAGTGGAACTGCTTGGGACATTTTTTTTCTTTTGTGCAAACACCCAATAAAGAGTCTAAGGAATTTTTTAGTTTAATTGCTAGTTGTCAAAGCAAATATTCAATTTGTGTTGAATATGATTTAGAGTTAAAAGCAACAAGAACTAGTTTTTTTTTGGGGGGGGGACCATAAGCATTAACCTAAAGCTAACCTCCACAAAGTACATCTAATAAAAATAGAGGTTTCAACACTAGTAGGCTAGTACTGCACCCCACCACAGCTAATGAGAGTCCAATATACTCATTTGCAGAGCATTTCATTAGAACTTATCTAATGCTGCAGTTAAAGGGAGACTGCACCTTTGGATCAAACATTTCTATAGTTTGAGATTCAGCCCTGACAATAGTTGTATGTTGAGTTTCATAGAGGTGATAGATTATGGTTCTCTATAACAACTTGTCCTCAATGCAATGTCCATGGTAATCTCAGCATGGACAGGAGAATTTTATAACAATAGTGCTGATCTGTTATGTAATTTCAATCCTCCTGAATAGCTATGATTGCTAGACAATTTCCTCACAGATTAAGCAAAGACTACAGACAACAGATGTAGTTATACAGAATTGTACAATATAAGAGTCTTATAAAATAAACCTGCAGAAAATTTTAAGGGAAAGAATGCAATGAACACATTGCATTCTAAAACTCCCTTCACAAAAATCTAAAATGAAAATCCAATTTGATACTGTGAGAATTTAATTGCTTATTAACATAGGTCGTCTGTCACATAAAAAGATGGAATCATTACCCTGCCAAGTTTACAGAAATTTAACATGATTAGAAACCAGATATAAAGAGGCAGTTGTTGGTTATTTTTCTCCCAGCAAGTCTCAAAGTATACAGCACCCAAAGAACAAAATGCTAGCCATAACCTAGCCCTTTCTCAGATAAGAACAAATTGACAGTTAATCAGGTGGAAGTCAAGAATAAGTTTTCCTTTTACATCAAGTAGTCCCTTGAATTTTACTGGAATTCATGCCTTGTTTGATAAAAATCCATTTATACAAGCACTTTGACAGTAATAGCAAGCTTGTCTAACTACAGTTAGAAGCAAATAGCAAGTGATCCTTACTGGGTGCCTCATACTTTTGACCTTGTGCAAAATCTACGCTATGCTTAGAAAATCATTACAGGCATTTTGACATGGTGTAATAATTACCAAGCTTTTCTCACTAGATCAAGATCAACTTAACAGAGTTCAATCCTCACTGGATGTCCCATACCTTTGGCCTTGGGACACTTTGAAACCAACCATACAATTACCTGATATTTTTATATATTGCATCCCATCAAAATGGGAGTGATCATGGCTCTCCAAAATTTCCTATCTATTATAGTTCTTAACTCACTGTTCTGCCATCTATTTGAACAAGCTTGTTAGGCAAGTTACTCTCCACAAGTGTCAAATTCTCCATGCCCTCTTCATTTGACCCAAAGGGAAAGAGCAAGAAGAGAAATACTTACAAAGATGAATCAATAGGTCTGTAGCTTGATAGTTATTACAGCTTTAATCTACAATGTGGTCTTAAAGCCTTGCAACTCCTACATAATCATTTCAACACTCTGG